ACAACAGAATACTGTTGCTTTCTTTCTACCATAAGCACAAGCATCTATGGTTTGGTTGGTAGAAATATTGTTGTGCTTAATTACAGGTTACTACCTATATACCATTGAAAATGTTCTATAATTAACATGGAAATGCAGTATTCATTGTCTAATTTCAAAATCCTTATTTCCTGCACAGTTTCAGAAATGAAGTTGTGGATCAGTTAGTGAACTTAAGTGTTTCCATGTTTGTGGTCACAAACCAATCTGGATGAGATCCAGATCGAATTTCCCCGTAAACTCAACATTGAACCTAACCACTGAATTTGATTCAGTTCTCATCCAACTTGGTTTGTGATCAGAATGGTGGAAAGAGTTGAGTTTGTGAACTGAGGTACCACTGTAACTGAGACATCACTGATTACAATATATAGAATGATTTTAATAAATAGGAATGCTCCTACTCTTCTACAAGAGTAGAAGAAAGGAGACGAGTTTGGTGACTGCTAGTATAACCGAGGTACAAGATGATAACAGCTAAGACTAGGGAAGTAGCTTGATGCATAAAACATGGCAGTCAGCAGTGAAAGCTGCTTTGGAGGCAGCATCCCAGGGACTTCTGGATGGATAAGATGGAAATAACTTGTGTAGAAGTAAGTGCACAACATGATAGGCACAGTTCCTAACACTGCACAAAACCATGTGCCTAATCCTCAAACACCTTCAGAAAGTAGAATGTGATCTTTACATTATGAGGAAAGTGCGTATAGAATGGAGAAGTTGAACGCCTTGCCCACAACCATGTATTTCATCATAAATCAAACAAGTGTTTAAAATTGGGAAGTCTGGATGTGGTATTCTAACATTTTATCACTTCATACCCTATATGAGAAACAACTACTGGATAAAATTATCTATATTTTCTGTCTGTGGTACAGATACCATGGAAATCTGTGGGAAAGAGAGGTCCAGAGGTCTGGTTGACGGCCATGGCAGAGGAGCGAGTCTGAGCACACTCGGACTCGTCATGTCCTTGGCACACCGAGTGAGTCGCCCTGCCTAAGCTGTCCCCCTCTGACCTCTTACTTCTGCACAGCCCCCGGCCAAAAGCACCACCTCCAAACCACGCCCCTAGCCCTGCCTCCATTGCCACGCCTCTAGCCTGCTTAATAAAATGCCTGGTACTTCCGCAATAAACGGGATCTGCGCCATCAGCCTGGTCTCCGGTGTCTTCTTTGCACTGTGTTGCCGCTTACCACAGGCCCAGGTCCCTCGACCCAAGGAGGTTCAACCTCAGAAATCTTAGTGGAAAATTATATAAATTTCAAAATTCCTAAATAGTCTATTTTTTTCTAGTCATTTCAATTTCTTGGAAACTTTCAATATTTTTAGCCACCCCATCTTTTGTACATCTACTATTTTTTTGAAATGATCAGAACTGGTTAACATATGTTATATTCCCATCATACATTATCTTCTCACATTCTCCCAAACCAACCTGAAATCCAGTCAGTAGATCAGCTGTGTGTAGGAACTCCCCTAATTTCATGCTATGCAAATATAGCTGAACTTTTTAACTCTTCCATGTACTTTTCACTGTAGGATATATATGTGCACATGTATTTTACATATTATATGTCTATATTATATATAATACATCCATATGTTATATATATATGTATATATATATCATGGTTCTGGTGTATATATGCATATAAACTGAAATCTGTATCAGTTATCACATACAGTTTTTCAGTTACTCAAAATATGGAACTTCAAATTTTTTATGGTTTCTTTGCCTTGTTAACCAGTCACCAAGCCATTAGCAGTGATCCTTCAAGTCACTTTCCTGGTTGTTGACCCTTCAGTGGCTCATTTCATTCACAATCACTGGTCATAATCCACTTGTGCTCCATCTCCCTGACTCTAGCTCCCAACATGCAGCCAGTTACTGGCCTTGACCAGACGGAGAGCACTCATGTTTGGAGAAACTGAGAAGATGTATCCTCATATATATGGCTTACAAAAGGGAGAAGCTCCTAAACCAAAGCTCTGCTTGCCATGGAGAAATGATGACTGTGGAGTGAATTCAAGATCTGAAAAGCTCTCTCTTCCTAATCACAGATTCTCTAGGTGCCTTCTTGACAAACAAGAAAAAATAAAAGTGTGAAGTTACTAATCCACATCACTTGTCTATTTCTCTGCCGTGCTTAGTGTTGTTCATCCATGGTCATCCTATCCAACACTAGCTGGGTCCAATTTGGGGTTGCCATATTAAGGAAACAAAAGCACAGGGTATCCACTTCAAATATCATTTTGTATTTGAAATTTCAGTTTAACTGACCAGCCGGTATCTTAGCAACACTAACCAAGTAAGTGGACTGGATCCAAAGCTTCTTTACGTTCTTCAACACATGCCCGTGGTAGGCTGCACAAAGAATAAACTCATGTGGAGCTTTTCAAAGAATAAGTGCTAAAGAAACTTATGATTTGAAGGTAGAATTTCTTCCAGGTTTTTCCAGTGCTAAGAAATATACAGATGCACACACACATCAGAAACTTTACAAATATTTTTAACTCCCTGTTGCCAATATTCACTAATGGAGTTAAGAGCTAAGACTGGAGAATCATGAAAGAACTGAATTCCGTTGTGCTTTTGTACTGGGTCTACTTCTAACATTAGCAAATTTTTTTCCCCTTACATCTAAATTTGACTTAATAATAGCAGAGTTCCCACAAATTTATTAATAAGTGTGATATGAATGACTCTTCCTAGTACTAATCACAACATAAATGTACTACACACATATTATCAATTTAATATTCATAACTCCATGAAGGGAAACTCATAAGACTTTTTTAGTCTTTAACTTACTCCAATAAATAATATCATCACCATCATCTGGCAATTGTTTTACATTCATTTCATCACTTATTGCATTTTGAGCACAGAAGGCAGAAACACTGGCCTTAGACACTAATGTAGCACATGTGAACCGAACACACAGGAATTTGCTGAGGCAGAACACAGGGATGTTCTGAGTCTTCCAGTGTGCACTGTCATCTTTGTTCTAGCACTATGTAACACTGCATGAGGTACTTAAGCCTTTCAAATTGTATTTATTCATTTATTTATTTATTTACTTATTTTTAAGCCTTGCAAATTCTAGCTTCCATAGATATATATGTTATGAAATGCTAACCATATGGTAGAAAAGTTACTGGAATGACACACTGAAGTGTATAAGCTGGTGAAATGCTACAAGACCCCATCCTGACAGAGACCAGACTGCTTTGCTCATTCTTTTTTTTTTTTTTTGTCACTAGGTGTCTTAGGCACTTGCTTATTGCTGAGGCACAATACTGGACACACAACATGAATGCAGAAAGGTTGAAGAAGTTTCAGACCCTGTTGTGCAGGATTAAACAGAGAAAGGGCATGAGGGAAGGGCCTGGGCAGAGAAGAGCTGCTCATGTCATGGCAGGCAGGAAGCAGAGAAAGGGGAGGTGCCAGGAATGGAGATTCCTCCTTCCAATCCAGGTCCCAGTGATCCCCCTCTTCTGACCTGACCCCCTCTCCTCACAGCAAGACAGCTATATGGCTCCCATTCAAAAAAACTTCCAAAAGCCCTGGCACATGAGGCCTTTTGGGGACATTCCTAACATAAACCACAGCACTAGCTCAATAATGGGTGTATTCCAAGTAATTAATACTTATGTGTGTATTGATTGTGTGGACCTCAGCCTGCATAATCAGCCAGCATGTTCATACAAGGTCTTTCTGTGCTTTCAACTCTGACTGGTTCTCAAGTCTTCTCACTCCTTTTCATGGTGTTTGTTCTGTCACATTATGTTCAGCTGTCCTCTAGGCCCAAAGACTAATCTTTCTCTTAGGCCAGCTACTCAATGGCACCTTCACTCCTGCATTCACTTATTCAGCTTGCTTTCTCTTTTCAAATAGTCCAATCTATTGTCTGCCTTGAGTGCTCAACAAACTTCAAAAGACAAATCTGTAGCACCAAATAAACACTTCCATTATGCTGCCCCTTGACCTCCTCTGTAGTTCTCACCAACCCCAGCGATTTCCTCCTCCGGGAAGAGTTTTCTGCGCTTGACTTACATGTATCATAAGCCCCACTTTTCCTCCAAAATGACTGTCCTTCTCAGTGCATTTTCTTAGTGCTATCACTTTTCTTGTTTTCTACACAATCTCTTTCTTCATAACCCCTTTGCCTTATCTGGAATTTAATACAGTATATGTGCCACTAATGCCAGCAAACACACCTCCAGATTTAACCTCATTCTGAACTGCAGATGCATAAATTCAACTAATCTTTTTATGGGGCTATATAATGTCAAATGAATCTCAATCTTAACTTCAGTAAAAGCTCTAACAACCCGCTTTCAATTGTGATCCCATAGTCTAAGTAAGCAGCAGGTCACCTGTGCATTTCAGACAAAATCCTTAGAGATAAGCATGATTTTTGACCCCGTCTTACATCTAATTCATTGCCAATATGTTCAAAAACCGATCCCAAATCCTTTACCTTTTCACAATCGTCATCATAGCTCCACTTAATGAAGCCCATGCTTGTCTTCCCTGGGGAATTCTATTGTGTCTCTTGATAGTATCTTCGCCCCACTTGTAAAACAGAACAACGTAAACTGCACACGGAAGCTGCAGTTATTTTATAAAACTGAACATAAAGTTACTTTCCTTGCAGTGCTCCTGAAGATTTCCATATAGATACGAGTCAGATTTCTTACTCTGACTGTTGTGGCCTCATTTGATGATGTGGGGATTTTCTCTGCAACCTCCCTCATCTCCTACAACCCCTGTCCAATCGCTTGCTCACTGCCCTTCAGCCACTCTCCCTTTCTTTCTGTCCCCTACATATCACAGATCTTCCTGAACTTTATCCCATCCCATATTTATGTCCATGAAACATTCATGTCTTATGTCTTTCTATGATTGGCTCTTTATGAGAATCTTGTCAACAAGATTCTCATAATCTTGTCAACAAGCCACTTACTCAGGGAGAGCTCCTGTGCACACACAGCGAAATTCGGTGAATCCTTTGTCTCAGGCCCATCACCCTAATAGCTTTTTATCAGAGAAATTCTACTCCTAAAAGTTTATGTTTTTAAATATTTCTTGGGTAATTGTCTTTCTTCCCTGACATTGGGTGAACTCTGTGAATTGAGGCCTTTTCTGTCTTATTGACCTGGAATCCTCTGACACTACTACAAACTCCAGGCTGTAATCCTTGCTCAGAATGTTATCTGTGACCTAAATGAAACAACTAGTGTTCTGTTGAATTCATCACTGTAGAGACGTAGAAAGGAGAGAGGGGCTCAAGCTCCAACATTCTTTCATTCTGATGACATGGCACATCTCTCCCACTTCCTGTGAGACTTTTGGATGAACTTCCTCTCTTCCAGTTCATCTAATTAGAGGTATTCACAAGTACAGAGAAGGCAAGCTGAAGAAAAAGAGGAACATTTTCCTTAAACTTTATCTTCCCTAATGGATCTCTTATAGAGCTGCAGATCTGTGGAAGTAAAGGCAATGGTATTGCTGGTGAAAGGATAGGAAGGATGGGGAGGTTGAGGGAACCCATTATGGTTCATTAAGAAAAAGAGAAGGCACAATGAAAAAAACATATGAAATTTGGGTGAAGATCCCAATAGGCCAATGAGTTTCCTTTTCTTTCTTATTGGCTCTAAGCCCCATAACATGGTATCAACCTTCACATTCTCTTTGTACTCTTGCTATTGCATATACTTTGAAGCACAAAAAGGTGCTGATAGTTTGATGATTACTTAAATATAGATTGTTACACATTTTATTCAAACTAGTGCAGACCATTTTGTTGGTTCAAGCCAGAGACTGTAGGATGTGAGGACATACATTTAATTCAAACTAGTTAAAACAATTTTGTGAGTTTAAGCCAGAGGTAGTATAGGTTGTGAGGAGAAAAGGATAGTACCGAAAGTTGCAAAGCAGATTAATAAAATGAACACTAACCTATGTCAGGTTTCTAGACCTGTGCTTGCAGAGATGAAGAACATCCCACAGGTGCTCGTTGTCTACAGGGAAATTTCATGTACAAAGAACCTCTATTCCACTGCAGGGTGTTAAGAACAGGAGAAAGACAGCGCTGACCCCATCTGAATCACAGCCTCCAGCACAGAGACCTGGGGCTCAGGCACTGGAGTTCAGAGAGCAGGAAAGGAAGTGATGGAGAATGCCTCCCAGTGCATCCACACGAGTACAAGAGCATCACTTATGACCCTGGTGAGCGTGAGACACAGGATCTTCTGGGGAAAACCATTTAAAGTTAGACTCCACCTAATATTTTACAGAAATCTTTTAACACGTTCAAAATTAGACAAAATTTTTCTCCTGAAAAAGAGAATAAAATTATGTTCATAAGATAGAATAGAATAATATAAATGAAGTTCTGTTTTTAAAGAGAAGTCTCCTCTTTTTCTGACAGAAAGTAACATATCATAGAGAAGTGCTATATTTGGAAATTAGTTTAACATCATACTTTCTAAATCCCATAAAGTTCCTCAGAGAATGTGATTTAAGGTTAGAGTTCTTACTGAAGCAGTCTTGAAAAGAAATGGTCCCTGCACAGAATCCTTTTACGTAGATCTCATTGGAAAGATACACACACACACACACACACACACACACACACACACACACACACACAGGCTCCTGCTGGTGGAAAACAATCCATATGATGAAGACAGGAAGTCACCAAAGAAAATGTCACAGATATTTCAGAAAGATGGCCCGGAAAAGTGAGAAAGTTCACTGCCTTCCTATTTCCAACCTCCGTAGCTCTCCAGCTAAGGGCTGCACTTACGCCGTGTGTCCCTGGCCAAAGCCAGGGGAGGGCTCAGCACCATCAGTGTCACTGTCACAGCTGCCATGCAGGAGCCTCCGGGGAGCCACAGACACAGCATACTGGACAGCAAGACAGGACGGGGTCAGACTGAGGCAGATAAGCCTCACTTAGTGAGAAACACGCATCCTGTCTGCTTACATTCCAAATGCTAAGAACCGAGAAATTCATTTCGTTGATTTTGCATTGGAGAACCTCAGTGTTGAAGAACCAATCAGCATCAGAGATGAATAGCATCATCAGTTGCTGATCAGAGATTCAAGATGCAGGTCCTCTCATGACACTGAAGTTTCTTCATTACAAGGACTGTTTCAATTAAAGTTTTTTCTTTCTTTTGGTGGAGGGAGGTGAGATAGGGTCTGATATGTAGTTCAGGCTGCCTTTGAACTCGTATATTTCCCAGGCTGATCTAAAATTCATGGTAATCATCCTGCATCAGTCTCCTGAGTTCTGTGATAAACGTCTAGCCCAATTACTTCTGAAGCATTTTAATTGGACCACCATGGTGAACCAGCTCTGTGTTGGAAAGTACCACACTCACAAGTGTAAACTTTGTGGTATCATTCATCCTGCATTTGAATATCTCCTTCTGAGGAGTAAAGAGTGTGGAGTGAAGGTGACTGAAAGTTGCAGACTTCAAGCTGATCCTTACTGTACCATAATCTCGTACTGTTGACCATGGAAAAGTATTCACCCTCTCACAGTTAAAATGAAAATATCATGAGTTTTCAGATACTTATACCCTGGAAAGGCTGTGATTCTGAGCACACCTCAAGGAGCTGCATTCCCTTATAACTGATAAAAAGTTGCAAATAATGGTGCTGATTGGAGGGACATTTCTGATACACTAGTAGCAACTGAATTTTAGTGAATCAATTAACTTCAATAAAAAAAGTTTTACAAGTTTGTCTCCTGGTGCTTTCGCTAATTTTAGTGCCAGTGCTAGAATACACGTGTGCGATGAGTGTGTATCTATGAGTCTTGAATGTTTCTTCATATAGGGATTCAACCCAACAGCATGGTTGGATAACTGTTCAAATGAAAGTACACTAAGTTTGAAACATCAGAAAAGAATTCAAGCCAGTCTGATACAATAACTCTGCTTTAGGGTAACTACTATTTTATGTGAAAAAGTGTTCAATCCAGGCGGGATGGCAGTGCACACTTGTAACCTCAAGGCTGTGGAAGGCTGAGGTAAGCCCAGGATGGAAAGTTTAGTGATACTTGGTCACAAAATAAAAATTTTAAAATTCTGGAAATTCAGTTTACTACTAATGACCTGGGTTCAAACTACAGCACTTTGAATAGGAGGAGAAGAAACAAGAGGAATAGGAGAAGAAGGAGATAGAGGAGGATGAAAAGGATAAGAAGGAGGAGGGAGTGGAGGAGGAAGAAGGGCAGGATAGAGGGAAAGAGAAGAGAAAAATTAAGAAAAGAAAGGAAAGAAGGAAAAGTTTTCATTCAATCCTGTAATCCTGGGTCCCATTATGATTTCTACACATTAATAGTAGTACATCCCTTTTTTATTACCCTGTGTTTTATTTAAGTTAACAAAGATATAACACATTACTACTGAATACATTATAGAGTGTTCAAGAAATGGAGCATTTTTTTTAAAAAGTGTTAATCATATCACCTTATAAACACATGCTTTTTGAATTATAACAATATAAAGTAATTATTATAGATTATGTTGATGTAAATGTGCAGTTTAGATTCAGGATGGGTAATTTACTAAATAAATACCTCCATCAATTCACATTGCACTGCAGTTCTGGTAAGCAGTCATTCCCTATGTGCCTTAATAGTTCTCACGACAGGGTAATAACCATGTGGCAACAAAAATCATTAAAATATTTTGAGTAATAGCAGAGCATTTTACTTTTATTCAAAATTGTTCTAAAGCCTTTATAGTCATAACAGTCATTATTTACATCGAGACAGTAAGGTAGATACTGTTTTTATCCCTATAAAATTGAAGGGGTATATTTATTGAATTAAATAATTTTTGTATATATGTAAGACTAGAAAATTGTAAATTCCAAATGGAACTGAATTATATGTGATTCCATATTCCACAAGCACAGCCATTATATCACATTAGCTTATCCTCATTTCAGGATATAATATTTCCCCTTTTATTAAAATTATTCCTCTCATTTATTCCTTTTAAAACATGGAAGCACTTTCTGTCATTTCAGGTGGGTACAGTCCAGCAACTGAAAAATTTCTCTCATTGTCTCCATCACCATTCAGTGCAGTGACAAGAATGGCACTTATCTGCGGTAATCACAGCCACAGCTCCTGATCCGCTTCTTATCAAATAGAGCATTAAATTCACTGTGGCCAGCAGCAGCCACCCAGGCCCAACAGCAAGGCGGGAGGACTTGGCAAATATGCACCATGGCCTCAAACAGCTCTGATGCCCACCTGCTCCAGTGCTGAGCCAGGAGAACAGAGAATCATGTGCTGTGACCCCAGGCCTTGTGTTCTCCACAGCACTGGTTAAGAGAGGAGACAAACAAAAGGCTGACATGACCAAGGATGTAACCAAGCACCGGGAGGAGATTTTTGCTTCCGGATGGAAATGATACACTATCACAAAGTCAAGGATAGAGCTAGGCTTTTGTGAAAGGCTTAGAGAGGGTGACAGCTACGTAGGGATCTCCTGGGATTCCCTAGGGGCCCCAGGCTCAGACCAGGAAGTTCTCAGGGCCTGTTTTGGAGTGCAGGTTCAGTGGAGTAGTGATCAGAGGGGCAGTCCTGAAGAGGAAGGCATTTAATCTAGTCATATGCTTCAGCTCTGGCACTGCTGTCTAAATCCAGCAGAAATTAGAGTTTGAATTTCTATATGTCAATATAGGGGTGCCTAATTGTTGTCACTAAAATCATGGTCCTTGTTGAATTCATTAAAGGCTGTTCATCAGAGGTTCCTAAGTTCTTTTAATATTCAGTTGACATTTGATGCTATTGTTGTTGCTGAATTTGCTACTAGAGTCAAGGTAACATAGTAGTGGTTGGTAAGTGGTTTTCTCTCCATGCTAATATCTGGATTGTGTGAGTGTCATTAAAAATACTTTAATTCACTCTCAAAGAACAGAGCAGTGATTCATTGAATCTGGAACCTTAACACAAAAAACCAAAGTAACACAGACATGAATACACAAGGCAGCAAAATGCCTCCAAAGATTCCCAGCTCCTCCAAAACAAGCTCCGTGGGTGTTGAGTGGGAGGAAAGCACGAGATACCCAGCAGCTAGGTCTGAAAGGGTGTCAGTGGAAGTAAAACAGTTCAATAAGACACTTGGGAAATTTAAAGAACTTATAACTAACACAATAATGACTCTAATGAAAAAATGATCCATGAATCCAGAGAAGACACTAATAAGCAGTTAGTGGAGCTAAAGAAAGAAATGGAAAACATGAATGCCCATCATAGAGAATGGTGTCCATAAGAAAGTTCCAAATAGAAATTCAGGAGATTAAAAACATGATTAAAAGTATGGGAAACAAGCAACCAATGTGAAGACAGGATGTCAGACCAAGAACACAGGGCTGTGCTCAGCGATGAATCAATGAGCGATAGCTTAAAATCAGCAAGGAATATGAGGAATGGAGCCACCAAAGATCTAGTAGAAGAGCAATTAGAATTAGTGAAAAATCAAAAGATGGCACAAGGGCATTTAAAAAGCTGTTTACAAAAGGAATAGCAGAAAAACTTTCCAGACTTAAAAAAAACAGAACAAACAAATAAGTGAATCATTTAGAGTCCTGAACTGAATGATCAGAAAACCAAACCAAACCAAGCCAAGCCAAGCCAAACCAAACCAAGCCAAGCCAAACCAAACCAAAGCAAACACCCAAAGCAAGGAAAAAAGTTTCATGTCCCATAATAATCAAAATCCATGAAATTTAACACAAAAGTAGAATCCCAAGGACTGCTAGAGAAAAGCAACATATTACATCACCTGAGCAACCAATCAGAATTGGAAAAGATTTCTCAACACAAACTTTAATGCAAAGAAAGCGGGAAGTGAAGTCTTTCAAGGTATTTAAGGAAACCACTTCCAACCCAGGCTATTCTATCCTGCAAGTTTATCATTTAAATTGCTGGAAAAATAAGGTTCTTCAGTGATAAAGAGAACCTATAGAAATTTATGACCACAAAATCAATACTCCAAAAAATTCACAAGGCTATCTTAGAAGGAAACAATGAAACTAATTGTGCCACAATATCCAATAAAATGAATGAATCCAGTATGGTTAACAATTAGGTAGAAGAGAAAGGAGCAAAACACCTGCAAGAAATTAATAAAATAACAGGAATGTCAATATTTATCAGATATAACTATCAGTGTAAATAGAATAAACTCTCCAATTGAGACACAGATTATGAGAATGGACAAAGAAACAAAATCCAACAGTATGCTGTATACAAGAAGTACATTTAATCAAAATTTTATAGACTAAAAAAGACTGGAAAACAATATTCTCTGAAACGGGAATGTTAAATCAAGGAGGAATAGCTATCTGTTATGGTTTCTTTCTAAATGTACTCCCAAAGCCTTATGTGGTCATAGGTTTTTCTTCAGAGGTGGCTGAATCAAGAGTGTATGATTGATTTACAATGCTGTGATCAAGGGTGCTGCGATTAAGGGTGGGTCATTGGTGCATCAGTCCACTGATTGGATTGGCACTGCCGTAATGCAAACAGACTGGGTACAATAGAAGGGACAGAAAGAGAGTTGTCTTGCTCTTCTCTCTTGTTACATTTGCTGTCTTCTGCCTTTATGAACTGTTGCTCCCCTGACATGTGCTACCCTGTCTTGGAGCTAGCTGATTAATGACTGAAAGTCTGACAAACTGTGAGCTAGATAAACCTTTCCTCCTTTTAATTTGAATGTTGGGAATTTTGTCTCAGCAAGGAGAAAAGTAACTAAGACTCTGTTCTATTTTCAAACAAAGTGGATTTCAAGTCAAACCTGATCAAAAGAGGCAAAGAAGGACATTACATATTTGTTAACGTAACTATTCAATAGAAAAAGACCACAATTTTAATCATGTAAGACCAAGTCACAATGCACCCAACTGCAAAAAGTCAACTCTAATGGATATACAAGATCAGATAAACAGTGATATAATT